GAAATGCAAGAAGAGTTGCCAATTTGTCTGATTCTGTAGTTTACATGAATTTTTCTAAAGGAAGCCTTTCTGGTTCAGAGGTGGATGAGGAAAATATTTTTCTCACTGTGCCTTTTACTGTGTGCTGTTAGGGGGAAGTAGTTTCTATTTTCCAAATAATGGTGATTTCATAAACCTTACTGTTTCTGTCTGACAGAGTCCAGTGCACATAGCTGTTTTCCATAATTGACCAATGTGGAGGTGTATGATGATGAAGGAAGCTAAGTGGGCCAAGTTCTAGCCTGCAAGTTCTTGTTGGGAATACTTTGGCGGGGCTCAGTGTGCACATGTTACTGTGAATGGTTCTGTGTGATCTGTATACCCTTTTCACTTCAGAGGCTGACTTAACCCACTTAGCTTCTTTCATCACAGCTCCCTTGAAAGCACTTCCAGCCCACCACCAGCAGGGCCAGTGGGCCAGACCCAGAGGTGGGTCTTCTGGACTGTGAGAATTCCTGTGGGCCAGATGTTTAACACCCCAAATTATATTTTTGTTCTTGTTAAGCAGCATTCAGCCAGTAGAGGGCAACAGGCTCAAAGATGTGATTCGAGTTCCACTGAAGTCAGCATCCTAAAGCATTTTTTGCATGAATAGGAGCAGGATAGGGTGCCAAAATATCCACAGCAAATATAATTAAATGAATTTTATTTTAATCTTTCATATTTAAATTAAAGTGTATATAAGTATTTTTAACGACATCTGTTTGGAAAGTATTTAAGTTTTGTGAGACACAGAAACATTAAATAAACCAGGTTTGAGTTACTCTTGTCATTTTGAGTAACTTAATTGCCTATAATTCTTTACCAGTTTGCACTTTCTTCAAATCTATAGAAACTTTAAAACTTTTGTAATTTTAGGAACAGATGAAATTTTCCAAATATATACATACAGTGCTGCATAACAAACTGGGTACAAACGTAATTACTTTATTTTGATGTCTTTTAAAAGATATGGTCCAGCTTACTATGATACTACTCAAAGCTATGTTGACTAAGAAACTACATGAGCAATAATTTATAAATAATGAATAATACCAGTGTATATCCCGCCTGTGGAATTTGCAGATTGTAAGAGAAAGAACTTCTGTTACTGAAATTGGCACAAAAATGTGCACGTTTCAGTTTTGGCTTAATAATTGCTTTACATTTTAAAACCATGCTAGTAACATGACATCAAGAGAACCTAAATTACAAAATTCTGTTTGGTTTCTGTGTTTGGCCATTAGTGAATGTATCAGTTTTCTACTTTTCGTGGTCACTAAGTAGTTCCTGTAAATACTTTTCTTGTTTCTGCAGGAGGAAGGTGAAATGGAAGGCGAGGCAGTTGAGGCTATTGTGGAGGAATCTGAAACTTTCATTAAGGGAAAAGAAAGAAAAACCTATCAAAGACGCCGTGAAGGTGGACAGGAGGAGGATGTTTGTCATATCCCACCTAACCAAGCAGATGGGGGTGAAGTAGTGCAGGATGTTAGTAGTGGTGTGCAGATGGTGATGATGGAACAGCTGGATCCAACACTTCTTCAAATGAAGACTGAAGTAATGGAAGGCACTGTGCCTCAGGAAACGGAGGCTACAGTGGATGACACACAGATAATAACACTTCAGGTTGTTAATATGGAAGAACAGCCTATAAACATTGGTGAGCTTCAGCTTGTCCAAGTACCTGTTCCAGTGACTGTACCAGTTGCCACCACTTCTGTGGAAGAACTTCAGGGAGCGTATGAAAATGAGGTTTCAAAAGGAGGCCTACAAGAGGGAGAGCCTATGATCTGTCACACGCTCCCTTTACCAGAAGGTTTCCAAGTAGTGAAAGTAGGTGCAAATGGTGAGGTGGAAACACTGGAGCAAGGAGAACTTCAGCCACAGGAAGATCCTAATTGGCAGAAAGATCCAGACTATCAGCCACCAGCCAAAAAAACAAAGAAAACCAAAAAGAGCAAGCTTCGTTATACTGAGGAAGGCAAAGATGTGGATGTGTCTGTGTATGATTTTGAAGAGGAGCAGCAAGAGGGTTTGCTATCTGAGGTCAATGCAGAAAAGGTGGTGGGCAACATGAAGCCCCCTAAACCAACAAAAATAAAAAAGAAAGGTATGTGGCTATTCTT